GAAAAGAAAGAGAGATGCCAAAGAGAATTAGGCTGGGGCTATTAAGGGGAACCAGGAAATGACACAGTTGTTAAATACATACTTTACGTCAGTCTTCATAGTGGAAGATACTAATAGCATTTCAGAAATAATAAATAATCAAGTGGCAAAAAAGAGGAAATAAATGTGGTAACTATCATTACAGAAAAATTGCAAAAGAAGTTAATGGGGCTAAAAACGAAGGGAGGCATAAGATCAGATAACTATAGGCCAGTTACCTTTACTTCTTTCATTAGGAAAATCTTCGAGTCTATTATAAATAGAAAGCATTTAGAAATACAAAATATGATAAAGTATAGTCACCATGGCTTCATGAAGGGGCAATCATGCTTGATAAAATTAATAAAATTCTTTGAGTACGTAATAGGCAGGATTGATAATGGGGAAGCTGTGGATGTAATACATTTGAATTTCTAGAAGGCATTTGATAGAGTACTACATGTTAGTCTACTTTACAAGATAAGAGCCCGGGTACTGTCGGTAGCTTATTAGCATGGCTAGAAAATTGGTTTACTAATAGAAGACAGACAGTTGGAAAAAGGGGTCATTTTCCAAATGACAGCCTGTAACTAGTGGCGTGCCAAGAGATCAGTCTGGGGACTGATCCATTTTCATTGCTTTCATTGCTTTCTAGCAATGTATATTAATGACTAGGATAAGGAAAGTAAATGTTTTGTAGCCTTGTTTGCAGGTGACACAAATAGGTGGGTGGGCAAGTGGTGAGGATGACACACAGAATCTGTAAAATGATAAAGAAAGTTAAGAGTGGGCAAAAATTTGGCAGATGAGAAGCCAAAACACCTGGGGATTTGGGCATCCTCATGTTTAAATCACAAAAAGCTAGCATACAAGTTCAGCAGTTAATAGGAAAGGCAACTAAAATGTTGGCCTTTATTTGAAAGGAAATGGAGTATTAAAATAGGGAAGACTTGCTAAAACTATACAATGTGCTAGTCAGACCACGGCTGTAAGACTGTGAATGTTTTGGTCCCCCTTATCTAATGAAAGGTATGCTGATGTTGGAGACAGTCTAGAGAGGGATTGTTAGGTTGCTCCTGGGCATAGAGAAATTTTCTTGGAAGGAGAGGTTGAGTAGGTTAGGCCAGTACTCATTGAACTTCGGAAGAATGAGAGGCAACCTTATTGATATGTGTGAGATTTTTAGATGATTTGACATGAAAGATTCGAAAAAGTTGCTTTCTCCTTGTTGGACAGTCTTTGACCAGAGGGCATACTCTCAAATTAAGAAGTCACCCTTAAGACAGAAATGAGAAGGATTTTCTGAGGGTGGTCAGTGTGTAAAATTCTTCACCACAGAGGGCTATAGAGGCTAGGTAGTTAAGTATATTGAAGGCTGAGATCAACTTTTAATCAGAAAGGGAATCAAGGGTTCTGGGGAAAAGGCAGGAAGTGGAGTCGAGGATTATCAGATCTTGTGAATGGTAGAGTTGAGTTTGATGGACTGAATGGCCTGCTTCTGTTCCTACATCTTATGGTCTTATTAGCATTCTATTTTTGTGGTTGGTTGGTTCGCTGAGCTGATTCATTGTTTAAACAACCAACCAACTCGGTGAGCCAACCAACCATAACATCCACAACCCGAGCTCCAAATCCACTGTAAAACCTAAGAGCAGTCTATTGTACTTGTATGCCTGCGATTTCCCTGCAGACAGGCTCTTTCACCACTTCTACTATTTGGAAGTTTATAGAATACGCCAGTAGTACCATCAGTAATGTTTTGCTTCTCAACTCTCACCAAATTTTTCTCTCTCGAACACCTTAATGACGTTCCTAACCAGTACTTCACCTATCTCCTTTCTCCTTCCCCGTATTTCAAAACACTTTTATGTCCGCAGTATTATGCGTCCAGTCTTTACCACTGTTTCAATATTCACACCACGTTGCTGCACAGCTATTTGTGAATCATACCTTATTCACCACATGTTCTAAATCTATCTTTGTGTTTCTCATGGTCCCTCTTAATCTGCTTCTGTAGTACTAGCCAACATTCTCACTTCTTTGTGGACCTTATTCCTCTTTCCTGTTTCTACAGTTACTTGAATCATCCTGTTTGGACATGTTGTGACACACCTTTGTGGCACTTGGGACTTGAACTCAGACCTTTTGACCCAGAAGTAGGGGCACTATCACTGTTCCTAAGACGACTAATGTGTGCTCAAGTGATCATCTCATCAATGCCCTCTACCTTTTATACTTAACTTCAGTCGACATAATTAATATTCTAAAAGAAAGCTGAGGCTCATCTGATTCATAGGACTGGATTTTACCTTACGTGATCAACGAGGTGCTCACTGGGGTGGGTGAGAGGGTGGGTGGTTATGTTGAGGGGATTGGTGAGGTACAGAAAATCTGGACATTGGAACTCCCCTGCCAAGGCATGGAAAACCTAGAAATTGTTGGTTGTGAAATCATTGGTTCCCTGTGTGGGAGGCAGCCTGATTTGAAGGATAGTGGTAGGGATGAGAAATTGGAAGTTGTGTGGAGAAAGTCTGGAGAGATTGCAAGATCTTGCCAATGCAGGCATTCTGGATCCAGCAGATAAGTGAAAAACTACATTAGTATTACAAGACTTAGAACAGCATTCTGAAGTGTACTTCAGTTCAAGGCCCGAAACGTCAGCCTTCCTGCTCCTATGATGCTGCTTGGCCTGCTGTGTTCATCCAGCTCTGCACCTTGTTGTCTTCAGTTCAGAGCAAAGTGGTTGCATTTCTCCTTTTATTGCATTTCTTATGAAAAATATGCATAAACTTTGTGAATTGCTGTATAGTAACTCCTATGTTGGTAGATACAGAAGAATATATTGCACTAATTTGATAGGCTTTCATGATCTGGAGAAATGTTGTTTGTATATTTTAACCTGGTCAGGTTTTGCGGGAATATTGAGAGCCTTATAAGGTTTGGTATCATCCTTCAGAATTTGTTAGGAATGGATTAATTTTATGCATTCTGCTTTGAATTAGTTGAAATTTAGGGTTTTGTGGAAGCTGTGCAGTTTTTTGACTTGCAGGAATGGGTTGCAGAATTCTTGACATTTTGTAAATCATGGATGAAGTCCTTTCTCATTAATACGTGCCTTAAAGAAAGCTCCCCCGTTTGTTGTGTGAAGATTGATTGTAACCAAGAGTGACTGCATTACCCTGAGTCTAACATTGATTAGTATTTGTCCTCTATGTATTTTTGTTTGAAGGATCCCCTTGGCGCCGCCTTTTGATGTTTGTGTGTCCCCCACTCTGCTCATTGCCTCCAGACTACTGCACTCCCAATTCCCATATCTTGGTCACCCCGAACTTCTGCATCTGTACCTTGGCACAGCATTTCCCTTTCCCTGCTCCCCAGCGACTCCCTCACTGCCAGCACTTCGTTAACCTGCAAGCTGCTCCTAGAAACACAAGTCGTTTTTCACCTGTGTTTATTGCTGGTAGGCTCCCCAGTAAGCTCATTAGCAGTCAGCGTGAAAGGAAAACAGCCTGTGATTGGAGGGGCAGCTCATCACCATTTCCTTACATTCTGTTTGTGGGGACTTTTCGTTCACAGAGGCAAACGGAGTACTTTCCTGGTTGATTTGAGAACTTTTAGAGATCGATTAGCCCTCTGTCCCCTATTGGTTTATTCAGAGGTCAGGACATACTGTTGCAAACCTTAGCCGAAATGTGGAACAAGTAGATTGTTTACTAAAAATGAGCGCCACTCAAAGGGGAAATGTAATACTTTTCTACCTTTTTACATCAAGGATTCAATTTAATCTAGAGTCGAACTGAAAAGTCTGTTTCCACACTGTATGATTCTATCATTCTAATTTTGCACCTACCACCACCACTAAAGACACAGCTGCCTAAAGGTGACAAATGTCAAAAAATTTTTCGTATGTCAAGTGTGTTAAGAAGCATTGCATCAAGGTGGATAAATAAAGTTACGATACAGATAAGACATGATCTATTTGGTGGAAGAACATCACAGGGCCTACTCCTGTTGCTGTGTTCCTAATATGGTTGTTTTAGATATTGCATGATATGCTTCATCAGTTGGTTGCTGTGTATTAACACGCATGCAAATACAAGTACAAAGGTAACATCTATGTTACATCAGTGTTTTGTTTCCTAAAGTCTTTGAATTGGGAGTGAACCTTTAGTCTTCTAATTCAAGCAAGAATGCTAACCTGCTGCCAGTGTTGTGTATATAACTAACAAGAATGGAGAAGTAGATTGTTTATTAAATATGAACGCCACACAAAAGGGAAATGTAATGCTTTTTCTACCTTTTTACTTTGAGGATTCAATTTAACCTTGTGTGTACAGTTCCATTTTTTGATTTGTTGTTGTAACACATAGATGAGGTGCAAATATGCTTTAAAACATTTCTGAATAATATCAATTTACAATTTTTATTTCGCTACGAGTTTATTGACTCAGTTAATTGTACCTTTTAACCTATCTCTTGGAAGTGCTAAAATATTATTTCCGGCACTTTAGAAGCATTAGTGGTCAAATCTGAGGCTCTTACCTTGTTTTTTTTCTGGTACTACAGGGAAATGGCTACCTCAACCCTTTATATGTAGCACATCAATTGTTTTTGTTCTTGTAATGTGTGTACATAGTGTTGAAATATTAAATTGGTCACGACAGACATTGACCATTAAGCTTCTTCAAAAGCTATTAAAATTCACTTAAGATTTGATTCATCTGAGACTTATTTGGAAATTCTTTTTAGATTAGAGTGTTCCTTGGTAATTGTGAGACACGGATTATTGTGATAGTTTTTTTTAGTTTGGCAATTTTTATTGTTGCTAATTACAAAGATTTATACAAATTTCAGTCAGTTGACTGCAGTGGTGTGAAGGCCATGGACCTTGTGGATCATGTTACCATCAGGTTTATTTTTGTGCAGTTATTTTGTGCATTTTTGTGAAAAACTCTAAATTTTTCCCCCAATTTTTATTACAGGAATGGCAGAACTCCATTCAGAAAAATGCTGGTCTTGCATTCATTGAGCTTGTTAACGAAGGAAGGTAATGGATTATTTTAATAAATAAAGCTTTTAGTTGCAAAAAGTTATGCAATTTATTCCAATATATCCACGCACAGTTTTTTCAGATTGCTGACCCTAGATTCAACTTCAGTCTTCAAAGTTTAACAATACCTGTGTTAATGATCATAAGAATTTATGATTTTTGTCTTAGAGTAACTGCTGCTGAAGTTTTCAACTGGGCAGATTTTCAGTGGATAAATTTGTTTTTACTTGAAACAATGGTCTGCATTCTCCCTGGGGGAAAAAAATGTATTCTATATCATGTAGTGTACTACTGGGAAGTTAGTAGAGATTTTGATTTGTCTATTTTTCAAGATTATTTTCTTTTTCTTGTTTTCCAATTATGTGCTAGTGAACATGCTGGTACTTTGGTTATTTTTCTGTTTTTAAACTAAATTCAAAGACATTCTATCCTTTAGGGCCAATTAAGGATACAAAGGAAAAAGTGCTTTGACATTATTTATTCACTTACATCTTTTGAAGCTATTTGCTTGGTATCTTGTGTTGTATAATTTATTATGAAATATACTTTGCGTAAATGTGTGGTTCACTATATTTTGTGAAATGCCTAAACCCCAAGAATGGGTTTCTTTTAATAAAGGCTTGATTCTTCTGCTTGTGCAGTAGCGGTTTTAATTTTCCTTTTGCCCATGTTGGATGAATTATTTTTGACAGCGGATAAGACTACCTTGCAAGGAAGTTGTTTAAATTAGTTTTTACTGATGGTTTATGGCGATGCTAGGGACGACACTTCTGTTTTGAGGGAAATTAGGAGTTTTGCTACTGAATTTGATCCCAGGGGCCGGTGTCAACTAACAACAGTGTTAGGTTGCACTGGAAGGACCTGGCCTGTTATCGTGTTCATTATATAGTCCTGACCTGCTTTGACCTCTTGGAAGAGAATGGTTGCTCTGAATTTGGCCTTTGATGAATGTTTTATGAGCTCCGATAACACGAGGATACTGTGCACATGTGAGAGAGTTGGTCAGGTCTATCTGAATTAGATGTTAATCATTAACAAATCAATTAGTGATGTTGAAGTGTAAGCAATTAACAGCCCTTTCTTTTGATAGTCTGCAGTAAGGGAGCACAGTAATGTCTTGTTGAAAATTTGTGGTTAAACATTTCAGTCAGAAATTTTTAACTGTACTAATGGGATATCATCATAATTCTTAATTTCATAAGTATAGATGACATAACCTGGTTTAGCTCGTTGGAAGATGACAAGGAACGCATAGATTTGCACTTGCAATCATGCAATACAACATCTGCTTCACAAAGAATTCTTCTTTTATTGATTTCTCATGGGATATTGTCCAACATGAGCTGCCCTTAAGAATATGGTAGTGAGCTAGTTTTTTTTTTGGACCACAGTATTTAAAGACCCTTTGGCAAAAAAGGGGGGCTATAACATAATTCAATATTCATGCTAAACAGAAGTGCCATACCTTTGACACAGCTAAGTGATCTCCCATACAACAGATCAGATCAAAGTTCTGCAGAAGTTCTAAATCCAGTTGTGAATGATGGTTGTCAGTGAAACAACTAACCAGAGGAGCAAGCTTCACAATCATATGCATCTTCAATGATGGCAAAGCCCATCATGAGTGCAAAAGTCAAAACTGAAGCAATTACAACCATTCTTCAATCAGAATGTTGAGTAGATTGGCCATCTTGGTGGCCTATTAAGATTCCTGCCATTGCAGATGCAGGTCTTCAACTAATTTATTTTGTATCACATGTTATTATTTATTTATAGGATGTAGACATTGCTCATTCCTGTTTGCCCTGAAGAAGAGAATGTGAATTGCCTTTTTGAACCACTGCAGTCCTTGGAGGTATAGGGACACCCACAGTGCAATTGAGAAGGGAGTTCCAGAATTTTGACCCTTCAATTGTGAAAGAATGGCAACCATAGTTTCAAGTCAGAATGTTGTGCAGCTGGGAGGGAACTTACAGTGGTAGTGCTCCCATGCATCTGCTGGCCTTGTCCTTGTAAGTGGTAGAGGCCCTGCATTTGTAAGGCTCTTGTGAAGGGGACTTGGTGAGTTACTGCAGTGCATCTTGCTGCATATGGACATGGTCTGCTACAGTATCTGGGGAATCATGAATAGTGCTGATCATTGTGCAGTAATCAACGAACATCTCCATTTCTGATCTATTGATGGAGGGAAGGACATTGATGGAGTGGCTGAAGATGGTTGTGCCTACAACATTACCCTGAAGAACAACTGTAACAGTGTCCCTGGACTGAAATTATTAATCTCCAACAACTACCTCTCTTTGTGCTAGCAGAGAGCTTTCCCATTGACTTTTTAGGTCTCCTTGAGGGCAGTCACTCTTGCCTCTCCTCTGAAGTTCAGCTCTTTTGTTTAAACTTCAAAAGCATACCAGGAGCAGCAGCAGACATACCCAGAAATGATGTGTCAACTTGGTGAACCAATAACACAGGATTACTTGCATGACAGACCTTGTAAACAACATGTGATAGAGGTAGGGGATCCTTCAACCAACAAATCAGATCCAAGTTTGGCGGTTCTGTCACATCCAGCATGGAATCTTGGTCTCTGGAAGTCCAGATATCACACCCGCCCATCTTCAGCCAATTTGATTCACTCCACATGAATGGCTGAAGGACTGGATACTGCAAAGGCTAACAATGTTCAAGCAAAGTAACTGAAGAATTGTGTTCCAGGAATAGTGCAAAATCGTTGAGATGTGTCCTGTCCACAAAAAGTAGGGAAAGCCAACCTTGCCAATTACCTCTCTATTAGTCTGTTTTGTATTATCAGCAAGTGATGAAAGAAGTAGTCAACAGTGCTTTCAAACCTTATTTGCTCAGTAGTAACCTGTTTTCTGATGTTCATTTTGGGTTCCACTAGGGTCACATGGCTTCTGATATCATTTCAGTCTTTGTCCAAACAGACATAAAACGCAGAACCCCAGAGGTAAAGTGAGAGTGTCTTCTCTTGACATCAAGGTAGCATTTTGCCAAGTCTGGCATCCAGATGCTTGAGCATTTCCAAAGATAGTGGGAATTGGGAGAATCTTTCCACTAATTGGAGTCATATCAAGCACAAAAGATGGTGATTGTTGTTATTGAGGTCGATCATCTCAGGGTAGTTTGCTAGGCCCAGCCATCTTCAGCTGCTTCATCAATGACCTTCCCTCCTCCTCCTCAAAGTCTGAAGTGGGAATATTCGCTGCTGATACCATAAGAGTTCAGCACCATTCGTGACTCCTCCAATGTTGAAGCAGTCCATGTCCAAATTCAGCAAGTTCTGAACAATATCCAGATTTTAGTTGACAAGTAGCAAGTAACATTTGTGTCACACAGATGCCAGGCAATGACCCTCTACAACAAGAAAGAACCTGAATGTCAATCCTTAACATTCAATGCCATCACTGTTAACAACCACCATATAATTACTGTGGCTGCAAAGATGGGTCAGAGGCTAGGAATGCTGCTGTGAGTAATTCACTTCCTGACTCCCCAAAGCCTGTCCACTACCTACAAGCACAAATCAGGAGAATGATGGAATACTTTCCACCAACCTGGATTAATACCTCTACAAAAGCACTCGCTAAGCTTGGCACCATTCAGGACAGAATGACCTGCTTGATTGACACTACTCGCACGCTCTTGCGCTCTCTCTCGCGCTCTCGCTCTCTTTCTCTCGCACACGTACACACAAATATTCACTCCCTTCATCAGTCAAATCCATCAGTCAAATGATACTGTGGTTATAGGAACAAGTTGGAGGCTATGAATTCTGTGGCAAATAACAAACCTGTCCACTATTGATAAAGCACAAGTCAGGAGTATAACGGAATCCTCTTCACTTGTAAAGATCGGTGCAGCACCAGCATCACTCAAAGATGTAATTGCCATCTGCAACCTTAAACATACACTCCTTTCACCAGTGATGCATCATTGCAGCAATGTATACCATCTGCAATATGCTCTGCAGCAATTCATCATGGCGCTCCTGAACAGCACTTTGCAAATGCATGACCCCGATTGTCTGGAAAGAGAAGGGCAGCAGGTGCATGGGAAAGACATCACCCAGAAATTCCCCTTCAAGCCATGCAACATCCAGACTTTGAACTATATTGCCATTCCTTCTCAGTTGCTGGGTCAAAATCCTGGAATCCCCTTCCTACCAGTGTACATGGACTGCAGTGATTCTAGAGGGCAGCTCACCAGCACTTTAGAGCAAATAGGGATGAGCAAGAAGTACTAAACAAGCCGAAGTGCCAACATCCCATGGACAGTTTTTTTTTTGAATCACATTCTTAGAAGTGGGGATATTTTCTAACTGCATAATGTTCACAATCTCTTAGATACTGAGGGAGCCCATGCTTGCCTACATTCATGCTTTGGTTGTATGTCGAAATTAACCTTCAGCTCTTGAGTGGACCAGCTATAAACCTTGTGCTTTGGCTGCAAGTGCAGGCAGAATCTGGGGATACTGTGGCAAATAACTCATTTTGGCTTCTCAAAGCAATTCAACTATCTATAAGGCACATGTCAACAGCGTTGCGGAATATTCTTTACTTGGGCAAATGCATCTCCAAAAAAGCTCAAAGTTCAACACCATTCAAGACAAAGCAGTCTGTTTGATCAGGACCCTATCTAATAACATAAATATTTGCCGTTTCCTCCAACAATACACAGTGGTAGCATTCTGTACCATCTACAAGATGCAGTGCCGCAAGCAGTCATAGCTCATTAAACAGCACCTTTCAATTCCAGTCTCCTCCACCTAGAATAATGAGGGGAGCATTTCCTTGGGAACACATCACCTTCAAGTTCCACCCAAGTCTCTCACTGAAAAGTAACTTATTTCCAAAAATTGCATTTATTTTTCTGCTTGTGCATGAGGGTGTTATCTGTTAAATAGGGAGAAAGTACTATTCTGCTGAAAATTTTTAAAATGTGCATGTCATTCCTCAGGCTATTTTTTTGAACAATAAATTTCACATTTTTATATATTGGCTATACACGAGTCAGACTGCTCACAAGATATGCAATGTTAATGTGATTCCAATGTTAGTATATTTTAAATGCCATGAGTATTCACTGAAAGTTTTTATATTTTAATTGTTTTGCGACTTGAAAACTTGCTTCTGAGTTGTGTGTTTTTTCCCTGTATAGATTGTTATGCCATACCATGAAAGATCACCTGGTGAGAGTAGCAAATGAGGCTGAGTTTATCCTGAGTAGACAGCGGGCAGAGGATATACACAGACATGCTGAATTTGAGGTAAGCTATAGCTTGCCAGATACAAGCTAAAATTTTCCTTGATATTAACAAACTTGCACAGTGTTAGCCACACAAATGGCTGGTTCTTTCAGGAATCTCTGGTCAAGCCTATGTATTAAACCATTGTGAAAGGACAAAGGAAAACCCACATTGGAGAAATAATGTTTCTTAGCGAAAAAAATTCTGGCTATATATTAGAATGCATATGATGATTCCTTCTAGGATGTGTTTGACTTGTGGAACTTTAAACTGAAATGGAAATTAAACTGCAAAATTGGAATGCCAGGAAAGTTTTACAACTTGAAAGTCATGTGCTATGTATATTGTTTAGCAGTGAAATGGAATATTGATGTTTGAAAGCAGTTGGACAGAAAATTCAAGATTGATTGGAATGAACAATAGTTTGAGTTAAAAAAATCTGCCTGACAATAGCCTCTGACTGGTCAAGATGCAGTGCTAAAAGTTGAGATGCAGTGTAGATGCCACGAAGAGCAGAATAGAAGAAGAATCCTGAGCCTGCACATAAAAAGCATACATCTCTCCCCCTCTACATATGAAGAATAGACAGAAAAACCATGAAAGCTTAAAAGAAAGAATTCATAAAGGACAATAGCTGAATTCACCTGATTAACCATCAAATTGAAGTATGACTATCATACAGTCAATGGTCTATCTGCATGGCAAAAATCAAAAGAATTGTGAGAAAATTAAATTTCAACCTTGTGGTCTGAACTTTTGTTTCAGATTTTTGTTTACCCTATCTATATTCATAACATATAGTATATGTATTGAATCGTTTTTCTGACTTAATATTAATGGTGTGTTTGTACATTTGGAGATTTGAAGGTGTCCAGTTTAAGTTACGTAAATTACAAATCCTTTCTTTGCTTTTGTTAACGTTAAGTATTACAATTAATAGTTACTAAAGCAAACTATTGTGAATTGCTTTTGTCCTGTTCAGTCAATTTGGTACTATTTTGACCTGTTCCTGTTGCCACATATGTTGTCTTAGATGTACAATTTGTTTGAGCACTACCAAAGTACACTTTTCTTTCATATATATTGAGGCAAGTTTTTAAATGAGGTTTTTTTTAAGTATGTAGGTGATCTGAAATTATCAATACTTCTGCTTTGGTTGGGGCAGCTTAGAAAAGAGGCATGAATCAAAGATGATCAAGCGTCAGATAAATACTGTATTTGGGAAAGCTTGTGTACATGTAATACATGTTCTGCATAAGAAGCACAAGTTATTTTGTTCACATTGTATTATTTTCTGCAGGGTATTGTTTTACTGTTGATTCCTCATGGCACCTGGTATTCACTGTAGTTTTCTTTCTGTGATAAAAGAATTAGTCCTGTAACCATTGTGAAGAAATGTAGTGCGATTGCCTTAATGATGTGACATTAATATTAATCTGTCTTCCCTCTTGTGGTAAAAACAGAAAAAATGGAAATTACTAGAAATACAATGAAGTGAGACAGTATCCCTGCATTCTGACACTTAGCTTGCGTACAGTTTGCTGCCTGCTATTTCTAAAAATAGATTCTGGATACCTGTTCACAGGATATGAACTTTGCTGTTTAGAGTGGCAAAGGTTGTGGTGCACCACCTTTAATGTCTGCATTAGGATTTGTTGGATATTGATAGACTTTTTATTCTTCTATTTTATAGAAAATAGGGCATTCATCTACTTAAGCTTTTCTACCATGACACAATAGGACGGTTTCATGATTTTGCAGGTTGCATTGGCTGGTAACAAGCTCTTCAAAATGCACCCAGCTTTTGATTTGAACGTTTGTGTTAAAGCTACTTATTATTATTCGAGGATCATTCGGGAATGCGAAGAAAACTTCTCAACTGAAAACTTCTTCTTCAGCCCTAATTCTCCAACTGTCTTTCCAACAATAGATGTGAAGAGCTCATGGATTTCTTTCCCTCTGCAATTGAGACTATTGATTCAACTGTCTCTGGTATTTGCTTCCCAGAATTCATTGGGCTGAAATTTCTCTAAATTTCTTCACTGTCTGATCGCTAAACTTGTTTCCTGCTGTAGTTTGTCTCTGGTTTCCCTGATATCAAACAAATCTTGTCCATCAAATCCAATTCCTGTTCCCTTGATGCTATTCTGCTAAACTGCTGACCACCTGACTTCTTTTCCTGGTTTCTTGTTAGGTGATATAGATAATTGTATTCTTTCTCTCAAGGCACTTTTTTCCCCTTTTCTTCAAAAGTGGTGTCATGAACTATTTCCTCAAAAAAAAAAATCTTGATCCCAAAATTCGCGCAAATTATCGCCCCATTCCTTTCCTTTTTAAAGTTCTAAAGTGAGTTTTCTCCACCCAAATCCATGCCTCTTTCCCCTGACTTGTGCTTAAATCTCACCAGGTATTCATCCATCACAGTCCCAAAATAGTATTACTTAAATTTACAAATTACATTACAGCGAGGTACGGTATATAGTTTTGCCGATATTGCAGCCTCTGACACAGTTGGCCACCTGATTTTCGTCAAATACTTTTCCATTGCTGAGGAACTGGGTAGGGTACAACTTATTGAAATAACTTGACAGAGGCCAATATCCCACCACCAAGTCACCCTTTATTTACACAGGGAAAGTCCTTCACACTGATCCAGCTCCCTCAGAGCGACAGGATGCCTGACACTCCTGTGCTTGTATGTCAGCCAGGACTCGCTGATTGGATGAGATTAACAGCTCCATTCAGAGAACTCATGCTCTATGAGGTCTACCTGCCTGACCTTGTCACAATCACGACATCCCTCCCCCTCTGAGTCCAAGGACATAGGCTGGTTCTTTTTCGTGTAGCTCCTCCTGGAGCGTTTTAGCTCCAGGTCATGTTGTCCAACTCTGCCTCGGATGCAGGCAGTGTGAAATGCACACTAGCTCACTTCTTGCGTCCAGAGTGTCTCGGAGGAAATTTATTCTTCAGGTGGCAAAAACGTCGAGGCAGCAACATCAGCTGTGTCAAACTCAAATTCCGAGGTCTCTTCAATACTCGACTGAGAGGGAGAACCAGTGGGTTCCGATAGCCATTCTAACTGTTCTGAGGAGCCAGTCACATTTTATTCCAGCCCCATTTGCAAGTTTGAAACTTTCATATGGTCCATGTGCTTGTTCAGAACCGTCACACCTACCCGAACTTTATAGATCACTGGACCTTGACCTTGCATCAATAATGCCTCTTACCCTTGCAGGACCATTCCCACGGTCCCTACACCAAGCTTCATCCTCCGAAGTAAACTACCTCTCTCCCTTAGTTGGAGTCTCATGTCCAGTAATGGCATACCTGATGCTGTTTCATCCTCCATCGCCATCCCAACCCCCCACCCCAGTCTGGGAGGTTCAGATTCAACCTGGTGCAGAGTCTGCTCTGCTGGAGCTATCCCTGTAGTTTCAAAAGGGGTGACCCTATAATTAATTAAGAACCGGGACAATTTGGCATTTAGTGAAGCTGTAGGCTGTTTCTTTAAGCCTGCTTCAAAGTTTGGACTGCTCTTTCTGCCAGACTGTTGGATGATGGACAGAATGGAGCTGTACTTGTGTGTCAAAGATTATTTGACTTTAGGAAATACTTCAATTCCCTGCTGGTTACTGATGGCCCATTATCTGTGACCAACACATCTGGGAGCCTGTGTATTGCAAAAGATGCGTTCAGTTTTTCTATTATCATCCCTGTGTTTAACGAATGAGCTCTGAGCACATCCAGCCACTTTGAGTAGACCTTCACAATGACTAAGAATATTGAGCCCATGAATGGACCTGCATAGTCAACGTGTAACCGAGTCCAGGGTTTACCCATCCACTCCCATGGATGCGAGAGAGCTGCTGGCAGTAATTTTTGTCTTTGTTGAGACTCTGGGCACTACCCCACCAACACGGATGTCTACACCCAATCCTGACAACCAGACATAACTGCTTGCCAACATATTCACTTTGGAAACCCCTGGATGACCCTGGTTGACTTCAGCTGTTATCTGGCAGCGATTTTTGCTCGGGAAAATCACTCTTGCTCCCTATAATAATATGCCATCCTCTACTGTGATCTGATCTCTCCGGGTCCAAAAAGGTTTCAGTTCTGGTTGTGACAGCCCTTTAGTATCATTCATCTCAACCAGCTGTTTCAGTTTTGCTAGGACTGGATCTTTCTGCATTCAAAGCCTGATACTGACAGCTGTGACTTGAAGTGCATCCAGAAAATTTAAAACCATTATGGACTCTTCTAGTGGTGGTACCACCAGTGGTGCATCTGTCAGTGGGAGGTGGCTCAATGCAAGCGCATTTGTTACTTGGCCTCCAGGACAGTGTTCCAATTTGTAATTATACTTATTAGAGCCCACCATTGAATTCGGCCTGAAGCTGGGGGTCGGCACTGCCTTATCCTCTTTAAGTAGACCTAGCAGGGGTTTGTGGTCCGTTATTATTACAAATTTGCTTCCATAAAGGTATTGGTGGAACTTCCTGACTCCAAATATGACCACCAATCCATCCTTCTCTTTCTGGAGTATATCTATGCTCTGCATAAACCAAAGTTCCAGATGCATATGCTATTGGGCATTCATCTCTACCTTTGAGTTAATACTATCCTGATGCCTTACAGGGAGACAGCTCATGTCAATACCAGATCTTGCTTGGGATCATAGTGTGCCAACATCTTAAGAGGATGATCGCTGTTTCTTCACTTCCCTGAAAACCATTGCTTATGCAACCATTTCCAAGACTGGCCCTTTTTGTAAAAGTTGATGCAAAGTTGCCAGGATGGAGGCCAGTTTATATATGAACTTTCCATAATAATTCACCAGCCTAAAGAGTTCCACCAGACCTAAGTTCCAGTACAGACGTGGGAGTTGGGGCACCTCTGATTGCCCTCACTTTATCTTCCAGTGGGTGTAACCCGGTCTTGTCAACTCTGGAGCCCAAGTAGGTCACTTGGAGTGCTTTGAACACACATTTTTCCCTTCTAAGACGTACGGCCGCCTGGAA